ACACCAATAAAGAAAGCGTAGTTTCTATTATGTGACTCTAATATAGCAACAAGGTGGGTATTTGGAAATAAATATATTGATAATTGTATAAAAGAATTCCAACCTAGAGTCCACGCATATGAAGATGGATTCCATTTGATAGACTAAGTAATATTGTAAAAATTGGCGAAAGTGGATTTGGATCTGCATACAAAGCAACCTAGTTGAATGGTATACGAAAGTTGATAGTGCTGATTATAACTATGTAAAAGTGCGTGAACCATCCAGCAGCGTTGCACTTAATACTTTGGCCAGTTTTAAAAAAACAATTTTGATTTTTTAAAAAAGTAAGTTAATTTATTTATCGCTTTAATAATTTATAGTTTATTGAACTAATTCATAAACTTTAAGTTTAAAAGTCTTATAAATTACAGTATATATTTGAATATAACTATAAGCATGTTAATTATAAGTAGATTAGAGTGTGAAATATGAATTTTATACTAATCAGAACAACTCTAGAAAAAATGGGTAATCGTAGCTTTGAGTTTGTTAAACTTATTGAAAGAAATGCTTAAGATCAATATGATGTAGACAGAAAGAAACTAAGGTATAATAAAAAGTTCAGAAAATAATACTACCAGAAATCTATTATTAAAAAATAGTTAATCAGAAAATGATCATAGAGTAAATTAAGTTTGTAAATGTTTTATTAAGAACTGGACTTGACGATGTTATATTATGTTAGATCATAATATTTAAACTATAATAACTATTATAATACAATTTACTTAAAATCGCTTATCTTTAGCTATCCAAATAAATAAAATTTTATTTCTCAGTATAATTCCTTAAAAAATCTTATTAATAAATTTAAGAAACTGGTCACTTTAAAAAACAAAAGATTCCAATAACATTACTTAGTAATGTAAATTATATTTACTATCCATTCTTGGTTTCACGTGACAATGCCACTTATTAAGCAGTAGATATAGTGATATAGTAGAATCGTTCCAATAATTGCTGTAACTAGTTACGACTTAAGTCATAACTGGCTAAAGCTTATGTCGTAACTAGTTACGTCAATTATTAGAATGATTCTACTGCATCACTAGATATAGGATGTTCCTAGACTCAGAATCAATTTAGTTTTAGATCTTGAACCTTTATAGTTCACATTCATGTTAAGCAAAGATTTCCAAACCTTGTTATGAGACTTGCTAGTATAAAGCATGCTTAAATATATAATACTGTAAAAGTGGATCAAAAATAAGAGGTAAAGAATACTCCTATTAAGCATTTATGATTTATGCCCAACTTTTTGTACAAGTAAAAATTTCTAAACCTTGATATATAGAACCTATTAATATGAAGCATGTTAATATTTGAGCTATATAATATTATAGTATAAAAGCAAGTATTCATATGAATAAAAGGCGTAATAAAAAAAACTATTATTTACCTGTTAAGTCTTTATACATCATATTTCTAAATTTATGCAAGATTTCTAAACACAAAACTCAAGTACAAAGTATGAAGAGACTTATAATACTACAGAGAAAAAAAATAAATTATATAGTATATATGTACTATACAATACAGCAATAAAAAAAAGGCAGTTATAAAAGCATAGAAATTCAATAAACTAAGAGTTATAAGCTTGAAAATACCTTTTTTTGAGTCTCATTTACTTTGGCAAAAAAACTGATTTTAACTGATTTTTTATTGATTATAAAACCTTGTCTCTTCTACTTTTCGAATATATAGTTATTAATTATTGATAGATATTACAAAGATTTAAGACTTTCGATTAAAAAAGTATGACTATAGGCCAATAAAAATCTGAAAAATTTTATAGATCATTCTGGAACTGATCTTCAGTATTCTAAAATGCAATCTGTTACACAAACCAAATATGGAAAAATCCCTGACTGCAATATAGTGTGAATCTAAAAAATTTCTACTGTTCGTCCAAAGAAAACATTTTTTCGTACTAAGTTAATCGATTTTGTAAATTAATTGAAAGTTGTAGAGCTCGTCCGTGCGGTTCTAATGGTGGTTAAATCATCCAAATCGGCCTAGTGAATGCCGAGATATCTTTAAAAAATGCGTCAATGACTATATATATAAATATTGTTTATATAGAGATTTTATATAGTCGTTGACGCGTTTTTTAAAGATATCTCGGCATCCACTAAGCCGATTTGGATGATTTAACAACCATTAGAACCGCAAAGAAGAGCTCTACAACTTTCAATTAATTTACAAAATCGATTAACTTAGTATGAAAAAATATTTTCTTTGGACGAACAGTAGAAATTTTTTAGATTCACACTATATTGGATTTATATAGTGATTTGTGTTATGTTACACTATGTTTATTCTTCTGTTGACTGGCGAATTATCAATTAAATTAATAATTTCTTGGTTAAAATTCATTAATTGAATGTTATGCACATGAAAAATGGGCTGTTCGTTTTTCATAATCAACTGATATCGTATAAATAATTCTAAAAGTTCTTTTCAGAATCTTTTCTGAAAGCAGAAAGATGATAGTTTTGTCCTCTTATTGATTGTATATCCAAAAAAGGCCACTTTTTACTAGGATCTATGCTACTTCGGTAAAAACCTAATTGCCCATCTGAATTCCTGCTATTAGCAGATTTCAAATACCACTCGGATACTTTTTTTTCATTTTTAAAAGTGCCTATGCTATATTGGTAACAATCTCTAATATATAATTGCCTGTTCAAATTTCTGCTATTAACAGATTTCAAGTACCATTCGAATGCTTTCTTTCTATCCTTAGGAATACCTATACCATCTCGATAACAATGTCTAATATTTAATTGCCTATCTAAATTTTTGCCACTAGCAGATTTTATATACTATTCAAATGCTTTTTTTCATCTTTAGAAATGCCTATGCCGTTTTAATAACAATGTCCAATATTTAATTGCCCATCTAAATTTCTACCACTAGCAGATTTTAAGCACTATTCAAATACTTTCTTCTCATCTTTAGAGATACCTATGCCATTTCGATAAAAATTTCTAATATATAATTGTCTATCTAAATTTCCATCACTAGCAGATTTCATATACTATTTGAATGCTTTTTTTTCATCTTTAGAAAAGCCTATGCCATTTTGGTAGCACTTCCTAACAACTAATTTTCCATCAGAATTTCTACGTCTAAAAGATTTTAAGTAACCTTCATACATCCTATTTTTGTTATTATAAGCGTCCATATCATCTTAGTAACAATTATCAATATTGAATTGTTTATTAGAATCTACTTCAGTATGCATTTGTTGGACATTATAAGCTAAGTTTGACCCAAATTTCCATTTTTTAAATGAGCTTGAAAGGTTTCTATCAAATACTACTAGCTCATTATAATGCTTCTGACATAACTGGTCATCTAATTTAAGTTGTATCTTTAACCTTGAAGCAGCTTCACTTTGAATAGCCTTAGGCAAAAGTTTTGCTGTCAATTTGCGAAACTTTTCTTCAAGATCATCCTTGCCACATATTGCACATGGACCCATATTTTTACGTTGTGAACCCTTTGGCATTGTTGCTAGTAAAGATTATGTCTATTCTGGGATCTTGAAAAATTATTGTGGGATCTTTGAATATCGGGTCTTGTTGAACATAAATACGAGTTTTTCAAGCCACAGTATTAAAAAACAAACTCTGGGGCCTCGTAAAAAGAATCAACACTTTTACTATTGTAGCTATTGTTCTAAATATATCAACCAATAAACGTGAATTCAGTGTAACACAAATCCGAAATAATCACAATGTTTATTTATCTGATTGGTAGATCTTATTCGAAAATATCACAAAATTTCCAAAATCCGCCCATATGAGCAGGTGCTCCGTAATGTCCTTCGGACAATTAACGAGAATAAATTAAATAAAATAGTAAATATGAATTTTTATACTTACGCACTATATGAAATGAAATTAAATAGTAGAAATTCATGAACTAGAACAGCTCATTTTAAACATTTAGATTAATAAAAATATACATCATCAAAAAGATTGTTTATTTTATCTCCGGACAACTCCTTTTTCATTTTCTGATTTCGAAATTTTAAAACAAAAATAGGACTTTTCAAACTCCCACTTATTTTCAAAATAAGTTAACTCTGAAGCCCCCAATAGAACGAATTGAATAGAAATCTTCATGAACTAACAAATTTTGTTTTAAATGCTAGATTAATAAATATTCTTTATCATACTGTAGAGAAAAGAAATGTATCAAAAAAAAAATTGTTTAGCCTAAAAAATGTTGAAGCGTCTTTTCAAGAACTGAAAATAGGCAAAATAACCCATTTTCAACAGCATAAATGATTGATAAATGATTGATAACTTTAAAGAATTACAGTTAATGATATCCAATTAGGTTCGCATTGCTAAAATCGATCGTTTGTATTTTCTTAAATAAAAATTCTTGATTAATACGAAAATTTATAACAAATCCCATTTCTCTATTTGCATATTAATTTATTATCGAGAATTGCGTTTACATAAGTCACTCTAATCCAATAGACTCACCTGAAATGAATCTGCAGGTTAGTCAATTGATGAGGTCAACCCAAACTTAATAGAGTCAAGCTGACCAATTGATCTGACTCTGACATGTCTATTAGGAGTTCTAGTAACATCATTAATTACACAGATCACAAATAATATTTCAAAAATATTCTATGTTTTACGAAGATTAATATCAGATATTTATGTTAAAAAATAAAATACATAAAAACTTGCTTTATACGTGTATAATAATGATAGCAAACTCATTTTTACAATAAATTTAATATACCGTGTTTCTGTTGACCGAATCCATATATTTTTAATGATAATAAAAACAATAAATTATATATATATGTATATTTAAATATTATTCCATTAATCAGTAATAAGATTATACGTAATTAATTTAAGCTATTAAAACAGAATCATATTCACAATGGCGAATATAAAAAGTGAATTATGGAGGCGCAAACAAATTTATGTAGTAGAGGGTGTAGCATTCAATGTTTTCCACATTTTATCAACCATGAGAGTTTTACCCTTTACATTTTTAGCCATGAAACTGCCAACTACCATGTTACCGAATGGTAAAAGAACTGCTCCCTTAGCCTAATTTTCAAAAAAAAAAAAAAAAATTAATTTTAAAACAACCGCAAATAAATAACAGACAACGTAAAGGCTAGAAATTGGACCGTCGAGAAAATCGCTATCCGGATAATATTTAATTACTCGAGTTATCTGAATAAATGATTATATATCGGGTATTCATATAACAGCAATTTCACTCTGGTCCAATTCCTATGTATAAAAGAAAACTACCTTTCCAACGGGAACAATCATAACTTCAGGACCAGGTTTATATTCAACCAATTTTTTATTATTAATATGGGAAATAATATTTTTAGTTATAACATCAGCATGAAGACCAGCACGGTAGGCAAGCTTAGTTTCATTAATATTTGTTATGTCGCCGAGGGCAAATATATGAGCATAATTATCATGATCCAATTGAAGAGTTGGCTTAACTTTTACTCGAGTGGTATTTTCTTCTATCAATGATTGATCCAATGTTTCTATAACGTTAGTGTTGGGCTTTATGCCAAAAGCTACGAATTGAACGTCAGATTCAATTTGCGTGCCCTATAAGAAAAGAAGAGAATTTGAGTTAAATGGATAATATTATCGTTATAAGGTTGAAGTTTTTTTTTTCTAGAATCAGTGTAACAATGGCCCGAAAGGTGATTTTCACAACAAAGATCGTATGTATATGCTAAATGTTTACCTTGTTGGTTTCCAAAGTTAAAGGAGACAACCCGTCACCGATACCCGAAGAAGGAAGATTAACAGATTCACCCAAAATAAGTTTTACATTTAGTTCTTTTAGTTGTTTAGCAAGAAGGTTAGTCATTTTCTTTGGGAATTTTTCACTAAGCAAATGATTTTCCGAATGAATAAGTGTAACTTCTTTATCTTGGTAAACTGATGCAATTTCTCCGGCAAGTTCTATTTAAAGTTAATATGAAAGGAGGATAATAATATATAGCATAAATAAGTACATAAGTAATCAACGAAGTAATACTGTAATAGTGATGTATTATTATACTGTATTACACAGAAATTTCAATTTATTCATAAGTGTATTATAGACATACCAATGCCCACAGGACCTCCACCAATAATCAAAATTTTATTCGCGTTTTTTATAGCACTTCTTTGAGCAACTAACTCAGCAACACTTTCTTCTTTATTATCAGTAATTAGCTTTCCAGGTCTAGGATAATTAGAACCGGTAGCAATTATCAAATATTCAAATGGTATACGAGTTCCCCATTCAGTTTCGGTATTAATGATAACTTCTTTTTCATGGATAGTAGTAACTGTAGCATGTACAACTTTTCCGTCATACTTAAAAAGGTTATTATAAGGAATTATAACTTTATGTTCGAAACCATCTTCAACGACAGCACGAAGACCACCAATAGAGTGATAAAAATGAGTTTTACGTTCGATAAGAATGATTTGATGGGTTTTATGAAGAGCCAATTCGAGTTTAGTGGCTGCAGCTACACCACCATATCCACCACCAACGATTACAATATTCGGTTTTGCTGTCATTTTTAATGTTAAAAATTTTATAGAAAAATATATTTATTACAAACACTTAAAGATTCCTAGATTTCGAAAAAAAAAGGGAAAGAGCTTGGCTTGCATATATATATGTCCATGTCCAAACTAATGTTTATACGTGATACTTGATGAATCAACCTATAACTTCCGAAACGTTCCGTCATTATTTGTCAGCGATGAAATTGTACCATTTATAATCGATTATGCGATGATCTGTATATTAAATTTCAATAAATCGATATTTAGTTCGAGAAAAGTTATTTATCACCAATCAATGGTTAATAAATTCATATATATTATTATCCCGGATCAGATTGACACAAATTTTTGACGTGTGCATACAAAAAGAAAAAGAGGGCCCTTACACTAAGTTTTTAAATTTAACGCGTATTTTCATTTCCTTTTTTGTGCTCAAATAAGTATATCTGGACCAATTATCCGTGGTTAATGATTTTGCCGGAAGATCTAGTCATCACTGGAAGCGAGGGATTTTATTACGATTTGCATATACTGTAAATGTTTATTGTCGACATCGATATCGACATTGTTTAAAATCTATTACGCAACAGATCGCCAACGCTAACAGGAGTAGTTGATAGCTCTGAGGGACGAATTAGGATTGACTAAATTGAGTTTATTGACAAATCTTAGCTTCAGGCGAGTTTCGTGACAAATTTGATATATTATTAATTAACTTTTTTGTCTGATTAGTAAGATTTGCGTAAATAGATGTACGTACGTATGTATAATTATGCGACATTTTTTATTTATTATCGGATATATCCTTATATGTCTAAATTTATTTTGCATCAATAACCTACCTATTAATTAGAGGTCCAATCCGGATAAATCCGTCACCCATTTATCCATATCTGAATTTATCCGGATATCCATTTACTATTGGTATCCGGATAATCCGAAATAATTATCCGGATATCAATAGTAAAACGGATATCCGAATAAATTCAGATCTGGGTATCCAACAGATAAATGGATAAATGGATAATGGATAGGAACTCTACTATTAATTATTAGCTTGTTCTTTCTTTTTTGGAATCTTCGTTATTCCTGGTGAAGATTTGGTGAAACTATTCATAGTCGTATCTCTCTAATCCTCTCTAATCCTCTCTAACTTTGCAGAAACCTTTGATTTTGCTAAATAAATTTACTATATAATAAGAATATAATTAAAATATAATTAAAATATAATTAAAATATTTTTATTCTGTTAAGTTACTTTTAACAATCTTTTTATCATATTGTTAAATATTAAGATATTAGTAATATTATTTAATATTATTTGATTATTTTAAACAGATTGCTATTATATTATTAAAATATTATATTTATTAAATTACTGTTAGATTGTTATTAGATAATAAAAAGATAATTTTAATATTAAAACTATATTGTAATTATATTACAAATATATAATATACATCAAATTAAAAGTGATTTAACAGAATAATAAAAATATTTTTAAAATATAATGATAATATTTTTACCATATATTTATCATATAATAACTCTCGTAATATTGGAATTATATTGTAAAAATATTATAGCAATATTGTAAACATATTTAGCAAAAATCGAGGTTTCTGCAAAGAATCCGGACCCTATATGCATTTGCTCTGAACTAACATAGTAAATTTGTTATTCCGAATCCGAACACTATTAAATCAAACACATATGACTTATTGTATATCGATATGATAAATAAATATACAGCGCCTTAAAGGTGCCACCAGAAAAAAAACAAAATTTGGGCCTTCAAGCTTATGACCCTGAAAAAACTGATTAAAATAACATATAGATCTTTAATAGTAAAAAAGTCGATAGTGTTGGCATTTAAATAAAAAACATAATATACTACACGTTTAATAATGTTGGAAATTAAGGAAAGTATAATCATTAGAATGATTTGTGTATTCAATTTCTTATTCTTCTACTACTCCTATCCTCCCACTTTATTAATAACAAATTACTTTTATATGTTACAGAATTCCCATTCTACACCCGATTTAGTTGTAATATATTATTATTCAAAGAAATGTAATTATCTTATTACAATAAAATTTAATCATGGAATTTTCTACCGCATGATTATGATGCAACGATTAGGTATTGACAAAAATTCCCGTGACACCGGTCCCCTGCGGACCACTTAACATCCCTACTATGATTTTAGCTTAAAATTATTATAGTCAGTGTAATGTTCTTGCAAAGTGCATTGGCCAACGCTTTTCCACCTGATCCAAGATTTTTCATACTGTACCAAGATCTAGAGAAGTCAAAATAGTGTTCTTGCAAAGTGCATCAGCCAATGCTTTACCTCCTTCTGGTCCAATATTATTCAGATTAAATCTTTCAACGAATGTTCTTACAAAGTGCTTCGGCTAATGCTTTTTTACCTTCCGACCCAAGATCATTATCAGTAATATTCGAAGATATTAAAGTGGTGTTCTTGCAAAGCAGATCTGCTAATGCTTTTCCTATATCTGATTCAAGATTATTACTACTAATATCTAAAGAGGTCAAAGTAATATTCTTGCAAAGTCATTGGCTAATGCTTTTCCTCTTTCCAATCCCAGATTATTATGAAACCTTCAATGATGTTAAAGTTGTATTCTTGTAAAGTGCATCAGTTAATGCTTTTCCTCCTTCCGATCCAAGATTATTCACACCAAGTTCTAGAAAAGTCAATGTGGAATTCTTGCAAAGTGCTCCTGCTAATGCTTTTCCTCCTTCCGATCCAAGATTAGCACAAAGATCCAAGGAAGTCGGCGTCATCAGCAAGTTGTTTCTTTTTAAAAAATCTACATATAACTACAACTTTATATAGTTATTATAAAGAATACAGTATTATGTTATTTAATATAAAATTTATATAAAAATTTATTTAAACTTGTATAAATATAATTTATACAGTAAAAAAGTTTATATAAACGTTGTATATTTATAAATTTTATATATTAATAAATTTTATATATTAATAAATTTTATATATTAATAAATTTTATATTAAGAAATTTTTATATATTAATAATAATTATATAATCTGTATATAAAACTTAAATAATTTTAATATAAAATTTAAAGAAAGAATTAGTCAATATCTCAAAATTTTACTCAGGTAACCCTATTTATGTTACGTGACCCCCGCAGATCATAAAATCAAGGGAAATTAGTCGATTTTTCGATTCTAAGAGAATTTTACAGATTTCAAAATAGATAGAAATATTACTGATTGAATATATGATTGATTGACTATTTAGAATCTCCAAAATTTCCCATTATTGTTAACATGAAAATTGTGGGGTTACACTTTTTTGCAAAGCGCAATAATAAAAAATGTTCTCGTAATTTTACCCTAACCCCAACCTTAATACTAACTCTAACTCTAATTATATCTTTTATTTTATCCTAACAAATTATTTATTTGACTACGTACTAAACATGCTATTATATTTGCCAAATTTTAGATAACAGTTAAATAAAATATTATTTATAATTATATTTATGTATAAATTATAACTATGTAAGTCTACATTGGGTTTATAGATCTATGAATAATTTTTAAATAAAATATAAATAAAATATTTACATAACTCTACATAAAAACAACTTCGTATTACTTCTAAAACTAAAATATAATCCTGAAAAGCCAAACTTTTCGGGGTATTGTTTTTATAAGTACTATCGCTAACCCATTTTCTATATTTGCTTCATTATTCGGTTAAAGAATTGCGTAGTATTTTTACAAAAAAACATTATTAATTCCTCTCCCTTTCTGTTAATTAAAGTATTGTAACGAATCTCTAAGGATTTTAGCTTTCATTAATGTAACTATCTCTTTGCGATCGAGTTTACCCGATAAGGCCCAAAGAAGTTAAATTGGAATTTCCTTCGATATTATTTGCTATTCCTCTCATTGTAAAGTCAACATCTTAGTTGTCACGAGAGAGGAATAAATCTACATTTTTCGATCCCACGGTGTAATATACGTGATATAACTTGTATAATAATATAGTGGTTTGAGAGGTCGATTTTTTTAGAAGAGGAGCTTGATATTAAATCTTTTCAATAGGTTGTTATTATTTAATTTGTTAAATATTAAATAATATACTTCGGTAGGTAATGATATCACATTGAGAAGTTAAAAAAAATTTTAGTACGTTACAACTATACCTAGTCTAATTCAAAAAACCCTCAACTAACATGAATGGTACCTGGGTGTTACTTTATGTAGGTGTCCGGGGTTCCCTTTACAATTCTCCCTCACTTATGCGCGAGTTCCACGAGCGATTATTGCAACAACGACTCGTACTCTGCACTGGTGAACTGTCGAACTTTACAAATGGTTGTCCAGGTGGTACAATATAGGTGTTCCACACACAGAGGCCAAAGAGATAGTATAATCGAAGGGATGCATCGATATAATGGCGGGTATGTCTCTTCTGAGGTTGGTGATCTGCTTTCTGCGTGTTCTGTTGAGTAGCGAGCCCAAATAAAAACGTGGACCAAACTTTCAATTCTATCCCCCTCATCAAGGGCTCGAAGAAATTTCCTGATAGGCAGCGGTAGCTTTGATGAAGCTTGGTTCTTCAAGATATAGGCAAGGGATGGGTTCTACGGGCAAGATATGTAGCAACGTTACTTTGCATTTTGGTGAGGTCTCTCTTTACAACGTACGTACGTACGTATGTACGTACATGTACGTCAGATATTTCAAAAATCCAAATTCGGAAAGGTCTAACCAGGTGATCTATACTGATCAAACACGCGCAATCTACGAATAGTGTTCAAAGACAAACTACCAAAAAACACTTCAAAAAATTCTGCGCAATAGCCGCGAGATCATGTGTAATATGAAAGTCAAAATTTGTCACTTGATCACCCGGGCTACCGGCTATCCCTAAAACACTACTCTCACATACTGATTACTTCCACCCTGCGGTGGGTGGGTGGGTCTCGACGAAGCTAAA